GTACCTCTTTTTTTAAAAAAAAAAAAAAAGTAAGCAAACTAAACTAGTTCTATGGAGGGTTGAAGTGTTGAACCCACCACGTCAACTATACGAGGGGATCACTTTGCCATTAGGATAATGCACTAAGTGCCGGTTACGTACCTTTACTAACTCTTTTTATGTGTTTTCTGATTTTTTTACTAATGCTTTGTTTAGATAGAGAGAAAATATAGGAAAAAAAATAGGAGAAAAAATAATTTTTTTCCTGTTTGGATGAGAAAAAAAAAGTGAAAGGAAAGAAAAGTAGAGAAGTAAATTGGGAGTGAGACCTATCATATTTTCTCTCCAAGTTCTCTCTCTACAAATGGAGAGATTTGGAAGGAAAATATTTATTCCACATTTACCATTTTGCTTCTTTGCACATAAACCTTTGCTTCATCATCTTCTACCTTCTTTTTTTTATCTCAGGACTTCAACACTTTGATTCACTTTATATTTGCTACACCATAATAAATGACAATAATTATTATAAATATAATTTAATGCTGATTCACATAATTTTTATAATTGTAAAAGTCTTTGGCTTAAAATTAATGATCTCACATTGCTTTGTCTCAGCACTGTGCATATCATATTTTTATAAATATGTGCCTTTCATATTTTTATTATATTATGTGTATAATTTATTGTTTATGTTCTAATTCCATATGCTCGCTATGAAACTCATGACTATATGTAAAAGAAAAATGCTCTTACTAATAAGCCAAGAGCTGAATTGGAATTTATTTATCTTTTATTTTATTTAATTAAAAAAATCCACTTTTTAATTTTGTAAATAAAAAAAAATTTTACTAAATTGTTTGGTTTTAAAATATAATAACATGAAAGTAATTTCTACCAACTAATTTGATTTCAAATTATTTTGATGATGCTAATTTTTAATATAATCTTTACTTTTAATATATTTTTATGCTTATAATTACATTAAACATATATATTTTGATATAAGGATATTATAGTCATTGTGATATTTGGTCATGCTTTTTCCTTCCTATTTTCTTTCGTCCATCCAAATATAAGAATTGATAATATTTTTCTTTTCACTTTTTTTTTTCTTTCTATTTTATTTCCTATCAACTTTTCTTCTCATCCAAACATAAGGTAAAGTTCTATATGGTCAAGTAATGATTATGCATTTCCTGATGGCTTTTCTATTGAGGTGTGAGTCGTTAGCATGCATTATATTTTCCCTATCCTTATATATAAGGTATTTTATAAAAACTTATTTTGTTCCTAAATATGAGGGGACTCATGATATATTTGAATAATTAGATAATTTTACCCTTATATTAAAAAATAAAATAAATGTTACTTTTGTGCTTTACCTACCACAATCATAATATTAATTGTGACATTAGTAATGAAAAATTAAAAAACTTTTGTGAAATTATGCAATGTCAACTAAATAATAAATTTTAGTCAAAGTATACTTTTAGTCATCTAATTTTATATAAAATTTTAATTTAATATTTTAATTTTATAAAATATCTTTTTAGTCTTTTAACTCTAACATTGATACTTTTAATTGATTACTTTTTGTGTCAATTATTATTATTTTTAAAAAAATAAACTTAATATGTTAATATTTGATAGTGTTTTATCAATATTTAAAAATTTAATGTAAAAAATTTTTAAAATAAAACTAATAATGTTAGAGTTAAAAGAATAAAAAGATAATTTATAAAATTAAAAAGTTAAAATAAAATATTATATGAAATTAAAAGATTAAAAATATATGTACATTCGATTGAAAAAAATTTATATATAAAGAAGGGGTGGGATGCTCTTTCTAGAACGAGTCGGGGACAATCCCTGCTATTTCGCACCATTCGCAGTTCCGCACGAAGCTATGGCTGATAAAGTGACTGTTTCGATAACAATTTTTTACCTTTCTTTTTAAACTTTCGAATCCAAACGGACCAAGCTTCCTCAGTCATTGATGGAAATTCCAAATCAGAATTTGGTGTTAGAGCTGCGACATGCAATTCTAAAAATGGCAATGCTTTTCTATCACTGTTTTGTTTTTCTTTTTTTTTTTTTCTTGGGACAATTTTCTATCTCTGTTTTATTAAGTATATCACCACAACTTTCTCAACTGAAGCTACAGCCGCCAATTTGGCAATTTACAGCTGCGCAAAACAGCAAACAAGTTGCATACATTGAAGAAGCGTACATTGGAATATTAGTAGATTAACATTAATCAATTAAAAATTTTAGGGTTAAATATCAATTTGAACATTGAACTATAAGATCAGGGACAATTTAAACACTAAACTTTAAAAAAGTACATTTTAAACTCTGAACAATTAAAGTTGGAGTAATTTGATCTCTACTATTAACTTTCAACAGATGTCCGTCAAATTTATTTGGAGAAAATTGCATTTTAAGCTCCAATTTGACAAATATTTATTTAGTATTCAAAATGTACCTTTTTAAAAGTTTAAATTGCCTTTGGATCTATAGTTCAGAGTCTAAATTGCATATTAACCTTTAATAATATTACAAACTTCCTAAGATATGAGAAGAAGGAATTAAAAAAATGTAAATAATAATGATGATAATGATGATGAAACTATATAAAAGAATGTTGTAAATTGTAATAATGAGTAAAGAAGTTTTTGGTGGAGATTATAGTGAGTATAAATGAGACAATATCAAGTTGACTATTTTTGTTCTTATTGAATGGAGTTTTGATAAGCAATCAATGATAGAAACAGGAGCGTAACATAATCTTTCATTTAAGCGCACTTTCATATTTTTTTCTATTTGTTCTTTAGCATAATGGAATCTCATAATAATATCAATAAAAAAACATTATCATTCTTTGTTGGAAAAAAAAATCTAAAATAGATTTCTCTTCATATATTTTTTCTCTGTCTCTTTATTTATCATAAAGGCATTTAGTTTTGTTTTATAAATTTTCACCTTTATTGATCAACTGAAACCAAGAAACTTACATATTCCTTCAAAATCTTTTTAAAAATTGATATAATATGTAAACTACACTTTTTTCTGTTACTGTTGAATTATTATTGATTAGAGTGCATTTTTTAAACTACAAAAGGGTTAATATGCAATTTTGACCCTGAATTATAGATTCAAGGGCAATTTAAACTCTAAACTTTTAAAAAAGTACATTATTAACCCTAAATAATTAAAATTGAGGCAATTAGACCCCTACCGTTAACTTTCAACAAATTTTTATCAAGTTGGGGCTTAAAGTGTAATTTTTTTTTAAATAAATTTAATAGACATTTGTTTAAAGTTAATGGTAGGGGTCAAATTGCTTTAACTTTAATTGTTTAAAGTTTAGAATGTATTTTTTTTTTTAAATCTAGGTTCAAATCGTCCCTGGATCTATAGTTCAAGATCAAAATGATATTTAACCTAAAATTCTAATTAAAATAATATTGTGAATAGTAAGTAATCTTTACATTTTTATTAAGCACTATTTTGAAATAAATGAAGCATAATTGAATGAACCATAATAGGTAAGACTATTTAATTTGAGCATCCTGGAAGAAATTCTAACTCAAAGCAATGTGATCATATTTAAGCTGTCAGGGCATTTTGGTCATTATGACTTTACGATAAGCAACATATAAGTAACGATACTCCAGCAACACAAATTACTATCTCTTGCCATGAGATAAATTAGGATAATTTACCTTGAAGCATATTGTCATCCACGGGCTCTTCGTATACAAATTTGTTGAAGGATAAAGGATTTACTTTTTTTACTTCAAGGGACAATGACACCTAAAGGCCCTATAATGGAAGAAATCACACCTAAGACCCAATATAATTGTTTTTGCATGTCCAAAGGCTCCAAATACAAATATGTTTTTCCATGAAAAAAAAAAAGATTGCCCTGATTATATATAATAAACTAACATTGTGTTATTCACATATAGACCTTATCATATTCTTTGTGAAGATACTATATATATACATAAAAAACTTATATATTATTGTTCAATTTAATCACACGAACTACATTTAATAAACTTACATTATATTATTCATGCATAAATCTTGTCATGTTCTTTATGAAAATTATGTTGCACATACATTTATTGTTTAATTTAACCACATTGAGTATAAATAATAAATGTACATCATGTTATTCATGTATAAACCTTGTCATGATCTTTATGGATATTATGTTGTACATAAATCAAAAAAACTTGTACATTTGGAGCAAAAGTGCCTTCTCACAAAGAAACATCTTTGTATTTGGGACTTCAGCCAGCATAAGCAATTCAAAATATATTAAGTTTTAAGATTTTTTCTATTATAGGGATAATAGGTGCAATTCTCCCTTCAACATATAACCGTTAGCCACTGTCATTTGATGCATCTTTTCTTTTTAAAATAACTCCTCATGTTTCCAAATATCAAAAGCATTACAATCATAGAATAATTTGCAAGGATAATTTCATGGGTCACAGAATCCTTCGTTTCCTTTGGAATTATAAACTATATGTATGTGGTCAGTCGTACTTATATACAGACCATTGCCTAAAATCACATACAAATCAAACTAAAAAACCTCCTATTTAGCATTTAGATTTAATAGCGTTAGAATTTTTAAAACACCCCTATATGTTTACACTTGCACACACACACACACACATCACCTTCACTATACAAGACCCATATTCATACACGTCACCTGTACACCTATTCACACCAAAAGCTACACGGAATGTATGCATTGAAAAATACATCTAAGAGAGGGGTGAATAGTTGCTTCTGCAATTATACAATTTAAATACAATTGATTCTACAAACGTGTTCCCAAAAATTAACTATACAATAATATAACAATAAACAATGCAGAGTGAAATTCTATAACTATAACAAATTAATATTTAAAGACTTCGAACAAAAAAAATCAAATAGCTAAAAGTTGAATAGATAGGAGCAGACAATAAATATATAGAGAAGAGACCCAAAAATAAAGCTCATAAAACAATTATATCAATTCAACTCTCTTTGACCCACGTCAAGTCGTCTTGAGCTCAAGGGATTTTCTTCACCATCAAAACAATTATAATGGTTGGTTTCCAAGCTCAGTATCAACTTATACCAGAGATTTATAAGCTCACCAACAACTTCAAGGTTTTCTCAAGATAACCTAGAATTTATATACAAGCCTCGGTTTTAACTCAACTCACCCTAGGCTCACTTCTCTCACAATGTAAGATTTTCACAATTTGAAAATATAGACCTATATACAGAAGTGATACACTCAAGCTCAAGCAAGTAGACAATTATCGTGGCAATAATGAGTCAAGCTAGTATTTGCAGTGAATCCCCCTGTTAAGTCCCCCTGTTAGGTTCACTGGCAAGATGAACCATATACAAGTACAAGAAAAAGGAATAACATATTTTGAATAATATATTTTATCTGCCAGCAAAATTTGAGATAGTTACTTCATTGATGGAACTTAATTCATTATTGCTTGGAGTTTGCTCTGTTGCAGGAGACATAGTTTGCCTGAGGATGAATGCAGGTTGGCTTGGGGGAGGAATATCTATAAGCTCACTTTGAAGCATTGACACTACCGAGGCCATAATGGGCCTATTTTTTGCAAGTTCTTGCACACATAGAAGACCAATATGTGTGCATCTCAATATATCATCGTGAAAGCTTGGATCATATATTTGTGGATCTATCAGAGGTATAACATTGGCATTGATCCATAATTTCCACGCCTGGAAAAATCAACAACAAAAATGTTAGCAGTCAAACATCATTGTATTCATCAAGAAAAAGGAAATTAAGAGCTTTTGCAAGAAAGAAATGTACAAATTGGAGACTTACAAAGCCTAAAAGTGTGAAAGATTCTGCATCCTCATAAAAGCTAGTATTTTTTCTTCCGCTAATAATCTCTAGCAGCAAAACACCAAAACTAAAGACATCAGATTTCTCTGAATAGAGTCCTTCAGTTGCATATTCTGGAGAAATGTATCCACTGCATTTAAACAATAAATTGTTCAGCTCTCTGTATGCTATTGATACTATTATCTTTGAAAAAGACTTACTAGGTTCCAACAATTCTTTCTGTATTTGCTTGATCTTGACCACCTCCAAAAAGTTTAGCCATCCCAAAATCTGATATTTTTGGATTCATCCCTTCATCCAATAATATGTTACTGGCCTTCAAATCTCTATGTATAATTCTCAATCTTGAATCTCTATGAAGATAGAGTAATCCTCTAGCTATTCCTTCAATTATGTTGAAGCGTCTTCCCCAATCTACAGATTTTTGTTGCAGTGGATCTGTAAAAAGATTATTTTAGGGAGGAAAATGATGAAATAAGGCAAACAAGTTCCCCCCCCCCCCCAAAAAAAAAAAAAAAAAGATTCTTCATCACTTTCAACAACTGCAAGTAAATGGTTGTGGTATTTTCCTACTTGCAATTGTGACTTAGTTGCCTGGAGCTTAACTATTACTCTATAAAACAAACCATATAAAATGTTCATACCCTCCATCAAACATGCAACATCAAGAAAATACGAAAGCATGCGTGTACTAAGAAACATGGGAAGCATTGCTAAAAATGTCAGCCAAGTATTACGTCAGGTAAGTTAAGAGTTGTATGGCAAACACGTGTTTCTTTATATATTCATTAACACTATAAAGTTTCCCCTTTTTCCTCAATTCCTCTCATGTAAAGCACAAGAACATCCAATTCACTAAAATATGCAGAGGAATATACACTAACCAAAAATATATGCATCCAAACTTTTGTTTGGCATGTATTCATAAACTAATATCTCTTCATCTCCTTCGATGCAACAACCAAGAAGTCTAACAAGGTTTCGGTGCTGAAGCTTTGAAATTAACTCCACTTCGTTGATAAATTCTTCAATACCCTGCCCAGATGATCTTGAAAGTCTTTTTACTGCTATTTCTTGTCCATCTTCAAACTTTCCCTGAAATAAAATGATATTTACCTTCTACCAAAAAAAAAACATGATATTTACCTAATTTCTTATCACTTGAAAAAAGACTAACTTTACAAAAATTGAAAACCACCTTATAAACTGGACCAAAACCTCCCTGCCCAAGTTTGTTTGCTAAGTCAAAGTTGTTTGTTGCAGTTGCCAACTTTCTAAAATCAAACAATGATAGGTCTTGATTATGAAGTTGCTTCAGGTTTGAAATCTGCATCTGCATCTGCGTTTCCCCTGTTTTGTACACATTTTTCCTTTTAATTTCATTGAGAAACATATATTGTTATTCTAATACTGGGTTACCAGAGCCATGAATTAACCATTTCCTTTTCTGATATAATCTGTGTCAAAATTCAAAAAATCAAATGTGCACAAGATTTTCTAAGATTTCAAAATATCTTTGTATTCTATATATCTAACTGATTTCACAATAATTTCTGGCCTGAAAAATTTATTATAAAGTGCTGAGATAAAAATACGTTCTCAATAACTTTTCCCTCCTGCCTCCCCTCTCTCTGCACTCCTATATTTCTTGTATTTATTGCAAGTGCTTAACAGTAAAACACAAAATATTTGATTCCTTGAATGAACTCCTACAATAAAACTGATTAACTGAACATCACCTTTTTGGTTTGACTTTTTTTTCCATAAGAAGTATCCACAGGCCATAATGAGAATGGTTCCTACCAGAGCTGATATTATAATAGATATTGTCATTTTCCTCTTGGCCTTACCTGTATCTGTATCATAGAAAAGAAGAGCATTCAAATAGTCTTCATTTTCTGACAATATGCTCAAACTACTGCGTGTATTATCATCAAAAGAGGTTTAAAACAAAATGAAGTTCCCCAAGTTTGCTTGAAAGACAAATGACACCACATGTTACAATTCAATTGAGGAACCTAATTAGCATTTAACAATATCAATCACACACGGGCTAAGAAGTACCATTGTTCACATGGATATTTAACATGACATGATATGATGAAATAGACAGTGCTTAAATTACATTTGAAGCTTTGTTTTCAAATCCTATTTTGTTGTCAAATAAATGTTGGACAGAAAATAAGTATGTTAGTGTTTCAAAGAGCTTTAACTAAGAGAGATACCTAGTTCTGAGTAGACCAAACGTATGTAAAGATCAAACCCACCAACTGGGAAGTTCTGTGTATCAAGTAAATCTACATTCCAAACCATACAACCAAGGCTTCTGTCATAGGCATAAGCTATACAAGAGCAATGCTTCAGGCATTGAGTTTGGCAATCTGCAATATGCTGATCAAAGTTAGAAGAAAAAACTTCTGCATGATCTGGTAGTTTTACCCTCTCCAGCTTCAAAAATCCATCTGGTTTGCTATCTTGAGAACTATTTTTGTCTCCATCACACTGAAGTGCTTCCCTTCTCACGCACCCACTAGTCCAGTTCTGCCTTCGCCATTCTTCTTTGTTCTTTGGTTCAAACCCTCTCAAGCAGCTGCAGATTGGTGAGCTTAAAGAATTGCAGATCCCAAATCTGCCACATTTGCCATAAATATCACAGTCGGAATTCTCACTTACCCATTCACGTTCCCATGTATTTTTCTGGGAATTCCAACGTTGTTTCTTTAGTTTACCTTTATGACCTAACTTAAGAGTTAGCAAAGTAGACTTGTCTGAGTAATGAAAATACAGGTCGAAACTCCCTCCCTCTCCTTTCATCTGAAGCTCATTTAGGGACATAGATGAACTCTGAGACACCCCAAGAAAGTGCGTGCCATTCCAGGGACCACTACGCCAGTAAGGATGATTTTCTTTCCACACAAACACTTCGGTAACATTATGAAGTTCAAGGCTGCAAGAGAATCCTCCATAGGATGGATCAGATGTACTTTTCCATGATGTAAGTTGCATTTTCTTGCCTGTTTTTTGTTAGTACTCAGTTTCATGTCTGGCAATAATGTATTATCAGGATGCTGGAAACTCTGCCACAAGAATGCTCCAGTAGTTCTATCAATGAGGACAAGGTTGCCAGAATCTAAGAGTTGAGCATTAGAATTTGATGCCATTGAGACATTTGTTGACCAAACAACTTGTTTTTGCCCATTCAAAACAAGAAGATTGCCATTCTCTGACATTGTGAGAATATTCCTAGAAGAATCTGTTAGTGGGTCGTTTTTGTTAGCAACCCAAACAACAGAGGATTCAGACATAAACCAAATTCCTAAGTAGCGATTTGTGGAATTCCGAGGTCTGAAGAATCCCAGCGTGAACATGCCATTATTTGAGCTCACTGTTTCAGGTTCTTGGATCAACACAGGTGGTGCCATGGGGTCCAAGGCACTAACCAGAAGAGTAAAGGTGAACAAATGTATGAGAAAAGCAAGTGACAAGCAAGCATTTTCACAGAATCCCATGAAAAGCATGACGATGATCGGAAATAGAGGGAAAAAATGGGTTTGGTTATCCAGCACTGCATGCAATGCTAGTAATAGTATGACATAATATAATATATAGAATTTCGAACTAGCCAATTAGCCTTAAACCACGACTGCAAATTGGGCAAAAATTGAAAAAAAGAAAAGGAAACTGTTGAATTGAATCTTCTTATTCATCGATCCTAGTCTTCTAAACAAGGTGTGAACAATAGAATTTTGACGCATACCTGTGATTTTTTCGTATTTCTAGTCTCTGCTTCACACTCTCGAAATTGAAGCTAGCAGAAAAGGTTCGGTCTTTTCGGGTCCCAAAATGATGATAAAAACGGTTGAGCCTTTTACACAGCCAAAAAAAAAAAAAAAAAAAAAAAGGAGGGATGGGGATCTAATGTCCAAAAAAAAAAAAAAACTAATAATTCATGTTTATGCGTGTTTGCTCTCTGTTTTTTTTTTTATCAGTGTTTAATATTTCAAATATACTCATTAGTTTATTATATATTTAAAGTGTGTTTGAATTTTAATTGAATATAATTGATTATAAAAAAATTGATTAACATAATAGTTTTAATTATAATTGATTACATTATAACATGATAGTGTTTGGATGATATTTTCTAAAATTAATTTTGATAAAATTAAAGATGTTTAAATGATTTTAATTAAAATTAATTTTAGATATATAGATTACAATAAAGGACATGAGTTTTAGGGTAGATAAAATTGCATATGATATTATTAAATTTATTTTGATTTATCTAATAAAAATATAATAATGATACATTTACTATTTGAAAAATTATTTAACACATATATTGATAAACAATATAAATTTAAATTAAATTTTATTATAAATTTATAATATTAATATTTAATAATATTTTTTATCAATTTTACAGTTTTTTTTATTTTTTCACGTTTAATGTTTTTATTTTATTCTTTTCAGAAACCTTACTTTTGGTCAAGGTAGTCACTTTATTGATTTTCCATAGTTCACAGTCTCTGTTCATACTTCACACTTTTTGTTCACACATTTACACAATGCACTTGATAGGCTAAAAATTCTCACAAGTAATAAATACTCAAACAGGTATGATTGAAATTGATAAGATGTTTGGGTTAACATAATCAATTATGCAAAAATGAAGGTGCTTGGATATTTTTCACCAAAATATGGTTCCGTACGAATGATTGATTCTCTTGATAAATCCAAACAGGCACTTGTGTGAATTTGGAGATCCAAATTTAGGCGTGTATTATTGGAAAAATTAGATTAAAAAAAAAGGTAAAAGTGAGGAAGGATTTTGGACAATTGTTTTTTTTTTCTTTTGTCATCTGATTCTTTTCTTTTTCTTTTTTTTGGGTGTGGGGTGAGGTAAACTAGCCTCATGATTCAAATCACAAAGCATAGACTAAAATTTTAGTCCAATTGTCGGGTCAATGAAGCAAATCCTTTTGCCCAAATATTGGTTTTCTAATAGAAGAAACTTAAATAGTTGACCTTAAATTAAATACTTAAGGTCAACTACATTTTTCTAATTTTGATTTTTTTGCCAGATTATAATTTTGATTTAGACATTTGGTCTTTATTTTTTTTTTTAGTCTAATCAATATCTGTAGAATCTATTTTGGAAACAATACTTGTTGCTTTGAATATTTCTTTGTAAAAATTTCAATATATTACAAAGAATTGAAAGTAGAAGTTAATTTAACAATTGGAACTGAAAAGCATCCAGACGAAAAAAATCTTAATAAGCTATGAACGTAAAAAATCAGAGTTGATTTGCTAGATTCAAGCAGGAAGAGGAGGCTTTTGAACTGTTGTTTCTCATAGCAAATCAAATTGAAGTTTGACTCTACTGTCAGTAGCCAAAAGGTCCCCACAAGATCCAAAGAAGAGTGCGGCGAAAATACCCAAAGGGAGAAAATTGGTGTTGAGTCCAAGTACATCTTCTCCATTTCAACACATGTATTTTCTTGGGAGAATGTCAAATAACGACCAAGAATGTGGCATAATTACTTGTCAGTCCTAAAAACTTCTGAAATTTCAATTTAGTCCAAAAAAAAAGTGAAATTAATTTTAAATGTGAAAAGACCAAAGTACCCATCACTTATTATGTAAAACTTATTAGTTATTAATTTTTTTACTTTACTTATTAATTTACTAATATGAATTAAAAATTACATGAGTTGATATGTCAATAAAATTTGACATCAATTGTAAATTATAACTTAGTAATTTACATCTGATGTTAGTAACTTAACAAGTAAATTAGCAAATTAATAACTAATGGTACTACTTGTTTGACAAATGGATATAATTTACAAGTAATATTGATAAATTAATAAATAAAAAAAAAATTTTTAACTAATGATTCTACAAAACAAGTATAAGATATTTTGATTTTTTTTAAAGTTGAAATTATTTTCACTTTTATTTTTCTTAACTGAACTGAAATTTCATAATTTTTTTTGTGTCCACTAGTAATTATATCACATCCTTGGTTCTCATTTGAAATTCTCCCTATTTTCTTCTTATCTAGATAGATGATGCATGTAAAGAAAAAGCCTAAATTAGATTTTGTTTTTTCAAAATATATTTTCCGTTCCAAAAAATTTTGATCGTTACTGCAAAAATAATTTGAATTTGTCCAAACTATCATAAGATTATGATTTCTTTGAGATGGATCTGTATGAATGCTAGCTTTTGCAGATTGCTCGATCATTCCAAGAACAAATCTCAGTTAAAAAGAAAAATTGATGATGAAAATTTGAGATTAGCTGTAAAGGAGTTAAAGAGACACCCTTGTGATGAACCAAGTTTCTCTTTGTCCAAATCAGATTTAACAAGGTTATAATGTCTTTGATCAGATCAATGCTTTCTTCCGATTATATATACAACCCGCGAAGAACAAGCATAGAAAAGATCATCTAGTTGGGCCAAAATCAACTATGAAAGAAGAATGAATGGAGAGAGCTCTAAACCAAATTGCCTTAGTGAAAGGACAAGTGTAGAAAAGATATCTTTAAGACTCTTCTTCTTGACAACCGAAAGGGCAAAGAACTTCCACCTTTAAATGGTGATCATTTATTGAGAATGTCTCCAGTTGGACAGGCATCATGGATTAATTTCCAAATTAACAAAAGACTCTTCATGGGTAGCTTAATTATCTAAAGAAAAGTCCATAAACCAGAATTGTTATTTGGAAAATTATTGTCTTATTGTAATTGAGCCTCAAAGCCCTTACTGGCCAAATAAGAGCCCATTAGAATCCAATAACGAAACAAGCCTATCTTGCATATTAGAAGCCGACATAGGAAGTATGATAATATCATCTCTGCGATGTTGGAATTATACAAAGAACGAAAGATTTCTTCTTTCCAACTTTTGAGACCCCAATTTTGAGGTCTATATTAATGAACAGTATATTTTAGTTTTATTAATTGGAAGACATTAATTTCAATTGTTTTTTTTCAATAAAAAAGAAAATTAAATTAAAGGATAAAAGGATAAAAATATCCATAAAATGGTTAGCCAGGAATATCCAATATTCTAAAGTAAAAAAAAGGGTAAAAATACCCATAATGTTACATGAGTAGGTACAAAATTAACTAAATCATTAACTTTGACCATTACATGCTGACTGTGCATGTTACGTGTCATCTTTGCTGATGTGGACTAATCAAAGGACAAAAATACCCACAAAATCATTCGCCACAAGCAAAAATACCCATAACATTATCAAAGTTGGTGTATAAGTGACCAATCCATCAAATCCCTTAAATGTTGACCGTTTAACTGACACATAAATAAAAGTTGACTATTTTTTCATTAACATGGACAAAAAATATTTCGAGATGAAATTCTCTGGAGGTTAATCAATTATTGTATGAATATTATGTGAGAAAATATCATTTTGATCGAATATTAAATTAAATTTTTTATTTCTTTGTAGCAATGGCAAAAACTATTTAAAAATTTTGAACATATTATGAATAAAATTACTTAAGGTTGTGACAATGTTCTTAAGGTAAGGCAGCATAGGAAGTGTGCTCAATTTCAATCGTCAATTGTGTGTAATCTATTTCACTATATTGAATCTGAGATTTTGCAAATAAGAAAAATAAGTGGAGAGGGAGGAAGGAAGGAGGTGAGATACGTGGTGATGGAAAGAAACCATATAACATGAATTTTGATAAATTGGTTACTATTGCACATACTAAATTAATATATGTAAAAATTTATCTGAGAATATTTTTTCTCTACATTAGTAAAAAGAAATTAACTTCTACTTAGATGTCAGTTAAACGATTAATATTTAAAGAATTTGATGGATTAATTACTTTTGCACCAATTTTGGTAACGTTATAAGTATTTTTGCTCTTAGCCAACTACTTTGTGAGTATTTTTGCCCATTTATTAGTCCACATTAGCAACAACTGACATGTAACATGTACAGTCAGTATTTAATGATCAAAGTTAACGGTGTTATGTCAAATTAATGATTTGGTTACTTTTATAGAATATTTTTGCCCTTTCTCTCACTTTAGAATATTAGATGCCCCTAGTTGACTACTTTATAGGTATTTTTATCCTTTTATCCTAAATTAAATGGAAAGGTAATTATACAATATTATAGTCACCAGCTTAAAAAGTAAAGAGAAAATTACCATGAAATCCCTCACAACCATTCAAAATTCCCAAAGTCCCACCAAATCTAAAAATATCTGTTAGTGGTGAATAAGATTGAAGTGGCAATGACTAAAATGCCTGTGTTATAAAATGCATTGTTAACAATTTGATAATGGTCATTTATCTAGAGACAGATGTGAATTGTTCAATTTTATTAAAAGAAATTATTGCATCTAATAAATTTGTACTTGTTACTGGCAGACATCTAGCTTATTAATAGCATTTATCTTGTGGTGAATGGTCGTTGATAAATTGTCAACTTGGCACCTTATAACATGATTATTTTGGTCATTCTCACTTTAATTTTGTTCACCACTAAATCCTTAGAGACTTGATAACTATTTAGGGATTTCATGGGATTTGTGAAGATTTTATGGTGATTTTCCCAAAAGTAAAAGCCTACTATCCTCCAATAGCTATTTAAGATGGTAATGAGGGTAAATAAAACCCCCGTATGAAGGACGTAGGACATAACATATGCAAGGATATATAATTCTCTCTTTAAGTATGTACAAAATGAAGGGCATGACGTAGTGCTAGTAACTGCAACAGCAATTTGGCAACTACAGCTTGTGTAGAAAACAGCCCGCTGCTAAATTGTTGGTGTTGAAAAACTATATATCATGATCTACAAAGAAGATTTACATTTCTTTCCCCTTTTCTGAAAATAAATCCTCCATTGAAAATTTGAAATTCCTGAATTTGCCTTGCTGGAGAGAAGTTAAGCAATCTTGGACTCCAATTCCTAATTATCTCATTTGACTCATGAGGCTGCATCTCTCTGTTGACTCAAAAATACGTTACATCTTCTGCGTGTCGCAGGTAAGACCTCCCCTGCAAAACACCCTTGATTTCTGCAGTACCACCATATACTATCCAATGTTTAAAGAAAAGTGGGGGAGAAAGGATTTCCAATCAAAGTTATTGACTTTTTGACTGAAGTTGGGAATCCCCAAATGAATCCAATCTTGAATAGTTTTTTGATTATCACTATGCATTTCCTTAATGTGAGAACAAACCCAAACCAAATTGCCCTGGCAAAATGGTCGCTACCATGTACCAATGTCTTCTTTCTCCATTTATCATAATTAAGAACGGTATGAGGGCCATTCATTAATAGAATCAACCAACCATAATGGTAAGAACTAGATCTTATCATCAAGTCAGATTTTAACATTAGCGCTGGAGCAATAGAAATGTGCTTCATTATTTCTTCATTAGCACCACATGTATAATTCCATTAAGAATGGAGAGCACCGTGCCTAGAAACAAGGAGAGAGAAGAAATGGAGAAGAAGAATAAAATGACACTATATCTTAATTCAAAATTTCAAATCTTGAATTTATGAATTCTTTTTCTTTATTTTACATTAGTTATCATTTATTAAGCCCAATTTTATTCAATAGAGGACTTTTTATATCAACTTAGATTTACTCACATTTGAATGACCTAGAAAACCTCATATTCCAATAAACCGAACCATCAATTCATCCATGATTTGACTTAATAAACCGAACCATCATTTTTGGCATCTGTATGTTCCATTAGTTATGCAGTGGAGAAGAGATTCCTTCATGCATTGTGGCCGTTGGAATTTAATCTCCCTCAAGCAGAAGTGTTGTATCCATCTTGTGCATCAAAACTTCCATCTTTACTGATGTTCCTTCTGCCTTTATAGAGCACTGTGGTTGAATGAATGCTTCCTTTCCCAGCTCTCCATCTGAGACAGTACCCAAAAAAAAAATAAAAAAAAAAAATACTCGTGCTTAAATTTGAAGCCTAATGACTATTACTATAGTTAATATTATACTAGTTGTCTAGCAAGATTATCCATGGGTGGCATGAAATATTTAAAACTACCCAGTTAAAATGATATAAATAAACAAAAATACCTAAAAAATAAACACATCTGGAAAGAAGGTTCTTAAAGAAAACGTGATATAACATTATGAAATTTACAATGCAATTGGAATTTATTAAGTTTGATTTTTGTTCATAAGAAGATTGAAGAAGTTTATATAAAGATCTAGAATCAATTCCCTGCAATGCATGGAAGATGCCTAACTCAAATGAACAAAACCAATGTATTATTAAATCTTAAACAGTTCTTGCCGGGAAAAAACAAATGCAATTACATGATTTTTAATTTCCAAACGAAGAGAAAGATGCAAAAAAATAAAATTAATTTAATGTGATGAAAAGAAGCTTCCGAATTAGATAAGAGACAACGAACGTTTGCTCTGAATTCTTATGATCTATTGTACCCTTATTCATTGAAATTTTAAAAATACAAATGCAAACGTGAAGAAGCGATTTTAATTTTACATATGGAACTAACTGTTTAGTGAACAACATAATTGAATTCGATAATAATTCCAATCTAATATGTCAATTCATCCACTACGACAAATACCTAGCAATTTTATTTCCGCAAAATACATCTACTCCTGAAAGTAGAAATCAATTTTTTAGTTTAATTTTCATTTTCTTTTTCTCTTGGAAATTTTGAACAAAAGTCGCAATTTATAAGGAATTCATTATCCTTTTTATAAGTCGCTTTGCATAAAAAAGTGGATCACTCTGCTGAATTTTACATAAATATGTATGAAGTAAATTAAAAAAGAATGGGGACAAGAGCATACCTTGGTCATCTAAACTTTGAAAAGAATTAGGGAATTGGATATCTTCCATGTTAAAATGTTGTCTGTGCACAGAAATTCCACTCTCATTTACGTCCTCCAGCTGGTAATCACTTGAACATGTATAGGCTTGTGCATAATTCCACTCCCACAAAAGTATTCCTTTTTTAGATCATAGACAACTATATGATCATCATTTACTGTATCCACATCCCTTCTTGGACCATACCCATCACATAATTGATGCTGATATACGATTTCGGCATTTATGAACACCCATGTGAAAATGAGAGACCTTAACAATAGCGCAGAGAAAGAGTAGGGAAGGAATTACGAAACCAAAAGGAAAAAGATCCTCCTATGCTACTGTGGTCTAACCGATATGGCACGCTTGCTCCCGGAACACAAAAATATGTTCGTTGTGGATAATACTCAACATAACTGATCATTGTAGCCCCAAGTAACTCCTGTGAACAACCAAAAAAAAAAAAAGAGTAACATATATAGAGAAAGGCACCACACACTCAATGGATTTGAAGGGATCAGGCTGGGAGCCTTGGACTTAATATGTCTTACTCTAATGCTTTCGTAATGCTTAGCCTTCCCAACTCTTTTTTTTTTTAATCATTAATTTTTATATAAAATAAGAGAAATTTTGATATTTTAAAGTCCCGAAGTGATAGGGTTTTGGCCTTTCAAAAGTCATAAAAATTAAAAAACTTTTTGATTTTGGGACTTCAACATGTCAAAATATCTCTTAATTATTTTATGTAGAAACCAATCCAAAGAAAAAAGAGAAAAATGAAGTTGGAAAGGTGGGGCATTACAAATGACATTAAAGAAAGGGGCATGAAAGCTCTTAGTCTGGATTGGAATATGAGAAAACCAAGGACAGAAATTGACCTCGCTCAACAATAATTTTCTTGACTTTGAACTCAATGATAAGCAGCCTCTTGCATTCAACTGTTTTATGTTTGGCGGAATCCCCTCAACTTCTCTAAGATGCTTGCACTCAGTTAAACCAAGCCACAGCAGAAAATGACATTCTCTAATGCATGCCAGCAAAATTGTGAAATTGTTAACTGTCAAGTACAGCCCTCTAACATTGATGAATGAAGTAAGATAAATTTGAAGCATCTCATTGGATACACTACATCCTGTGAGGGGAAGCCTACACATGCTTGGACAAGTCGTGGGTGTCATTTCCATCAGCAACTTCCCAAAATCTGCAACAGAAATCCTGTCTAGTTCTGGCATCAGAAAAATGCTATCTGGTATCTCAATTGACCTTCAGCCAGCTGGTTCAATGTATATCATGCCAAGTTGAGTGAGATTGCAAATTGAAGACGGTAATTTTTCTATACCAGTTCCAACCAATAACAAATCTGTTGTTTCCATTTCTTCTGATATTTCTGGGAAGTACTTTAGGCTCGAGCAATAATTAAGATTGAAGTGTTTAAGGGAGGGTAACTTGATGCGATGTGGAAAAGTTTTCAGCTGGGCACAGTTTCGCAAATTCAAGCATTCAAGTTGTGCTAATTCTCCCACTGAATCATCAATTTCAATTAAATTCTTACAATCATGAAGCCATAATTTCCTTAAATTGTGGAGGCCAGATAAATTAGGCACGTGTGTAATATAATTGCTACCTCCAAAATTCAAAATACTTAGATTTGGCGTCTTCTGCAATAACCACAACCATACCAAAAAAAAAAATCTAATTAAAGAAATGATCAAATAGAAGCTACCTTATAACCAAACAAATGCATATAACATGGGGGGTGCTCCCCTTATTTCCATTGAACTGATACAACTATGACCCAGATCAAATACAACAAGCTTCTTCGGACAAAAACTGAGGGGCAAGCGTGATGAAGGATATCCCGGCCATTTCAACACTCTCAAGCTGTTAGGAAGATATTCAGGGCCTTTGGAAAATTTCAAATTCTCAAAAATAAGAATTTTGAGATTTCTCATTCTTGAAAGCTTTTCCATCCCAATTTACGTCCATCCACCCGGACAAATTGTTTGCAATTATTATAATAACTTCATTTGTACCCTTTTAAATAAAAAATAAAAACAAATCACAACTAGATAGGAGGAGTTTCATAAATGAGTAACATAAATAGAAAACTTTCATGTTACATATTTGAAGTCAATGACGTTACAAGGGTGTGATGCTGTAGTTAAATGCACAAGAGTTTAGATATCATAAAACAATGAGGAAAAAAAAAATAGTCCCAAAGAAAAGGGGAAGCACTGTTATGATACAGGCAAACAAAATCCATGAGAAAGAGTCATACATTACTAGCTGTCCTTTAACTCAATATTAGCGTGACTTATTTTAGAAATACAACAAATGGTCTTCATCATAATTTCAACTTTTTGCGTTAATTTTCAACACAAGGAAATCAAATCATAAGATAAACAGGGACAATATTAAATATTATGAGAAATAGAGTAAATATTAGTTTTCTAATCAAAATTAAAACCAAGCGATTATAAATACTACAAAACATTTTACCAAAAGTAATCTACAAATCAATCAAACATTATTATCATATATGTTTTTTTTTCAAATTAATTTTCTCTAATACCATCTCACCTAGCTCGTTTCTATTTGAATTCTAAGCATTCACTTTCCAAGCCAAAAGCATTAGTTAACAACTTAACATAAAATAAGGAAAACAAAGGTAAATCTCATCAATAATGATAGCAGCAAGATATTTTGAAAGAACAAGAAAATTACAAGGTTGGGAGGGGCATCCCAATGAGTGTGACTTACTGCATATTCTTCCAGCATATCAACAATATCATTTTTTTTTTTTTGCCAAAATATCAACAATATCTTGAAGGGACCATAATCTACTACGTTTTCCTGGCTCATTTGGTAATTCTTGATGAACAATTTCTCTCCCCATATCTTGTATTAAATCATGCATTTCAATATAAACACCATTTTTGTGAATGTTGATGAGGCATTTGTTGATCAACACTTCAATACCATATCCTGGATCAAAACCATGAGCCTGCTCCACAATATTTATGGCATATTCCAATTCATCTCCTTTGAAAAAAACAAGCAATGTCAAGGAAAATTTCTCTTTCTGCTTCATTTAGGCCATCATAACTTAGTTTCAATATTTGTTGAATATCACTCTCAGGAATCTGTTTATATACATCCAATGCAGATTCCCACTCCCTTACTCTCATACCAAACAAGTGAGAGCCTATCACTTCAAGGGCTAAAAGAAGACCTTGGGCATAACATATCACACGATTTACAACATCCTTGTAGCAGGGATCAACTTGCTTATTTCTAAAGGCATTCCAACGTAGAAGTTCAAGAGATTCCTCATCATTGAATACCTCCATGTCATAATTCCTTTCAACCCCATGTCTATTTAGTAATTGCGTCTCCCTTCTTGTTATAATGATCCTACTCCCAAGACCAAACCAATCACAATTACCAGCAAGCTTTTGTAGATGCTCTTGTTTGTCAACATCATCAAGAATTAACAAAATGTGCTTTCGTTTGGGTCTTTGTTTCATTCTTGTGACTCCTTGGTTAACATCAATTTTTATCTCCACCACTAAAATTTCTAAGAGCATTCTCGTTTGCATTTCTTCTAGGCTAAGTTTCCTAGACTTATCTTTGATATCATGAAGAAAACACAAACCTTCAAAACTATCAGCAATGGCGTTGTATAGAGCATGTGCTATTGTTGTTTTACCTAGTCCTCCAATTCCAAAAATCCCTACCATGATAACCTTATCATTTGATCCAAGCTCCAATAGAGATTTTATTTTTTGTAGTTGAGAATCTAATCCAACTGGATATTCAGCAATGTGTAAAGGAACCCTATTGCTTTTGTTAGAGATCTCCTTCACAATCGTTTCAATGATCTCATATTCATAAGCATTCTTATCACTGAAAAAGCACCAAGATCATGATCAAATTGTGTAATTATATTCATTCCAGTCATGTATCATATGCACAAAATTTGCAATAATTTTTGTATAGCATGATTACATGAAGCTAGCTAGGTAATAAAAATTATAAGAAAAGTAAGGGATATAAAAATATTGAATTACCTTGGTCTGGTATGCACCCCAGAAATATTAGCTATTTCATTTAGTGCCAACTTCCACCTTTGTATTGTCTCATCACTGGCCCTTAAATTAATTCTATGCATAGCCAATGCTTGTTCATAGTTCCCTTTCTGATGTCACACTTCTGAAGGCTCCACATCATAAAAAATTGGCAAAACCAGCCGACCTTCTTGCTAAATATATTGATAAATGTGAACAAGTTCGTTGAGGAAAAATGTCGAGGAAGCATAGTTCTGAGAAAACACAGTAATGGCTATCCTAGATTCTTGGATTGCTTGAAGAGGTGTAGGTGCAATGCCATCCCCTTTTCTTAGTTCCTCATCATCAAAGAAGGTGCAAATTCCCTTTTCAGTCAGAGCATGATATAGACTTCCTGTGAATCCATAGCGAGTATCTTTACCTCTAAAATTGATAAAAACATCATATGTCCATTGATAGTGGAAGGATGAAGTTGACTCGCCCTGTCATTATGACTATGGCTTGTACTGGAAGACAGAAACAATGATATCAAAATTAATTTACCACGAAAAGCTGTGGAGACTAAAGAGTACTGATGATATACCCTATGGAAGAGGGAAGTGGTGATATAGGCATGAATGGATTTACTTACTGTGAAAAATGAAGTATCCGAAAAAAAAGCAGCTATGAAGCACAATAAAGCAATGGGAACGAACAAGAAGAAAGATAGAGGCTGCAATTGCTTTTCTCCAGATGAATCGATCGTTAGGTAAAGATATGAACACGGAGAATGGAGCAGTGGGTGGACTCAAATTTGAAAACATCCAAACGAGAACAGTGTCTTCTCACAGAACACAAAGATACAACCAGTACTATTGTAAATAAGAATAGAAATTATTTAAATTAATAATTGGCCATAGGATTTACTCAGTACCGTTTCTTATAAAAAAATTTCCATAAAGCATCACTTGAAAAGGATGTCTCAAAACGTTTACAACAGTCCAAGCAAAGCAATATTAAAGGAAGCAATAGTAACTCGACTTTAATTCACATAAAGCTTACTCCAAATTTATCTTAATCCATGTATGAATATCAAGAATTCATTTACAAAAAAAAAAAAGCAGAAAGTTAAAATCATGTATATTCAACATCACGTAAAAACTTCAAGCAGCTTTATAGAAATTGAAATATGAAATCAATATTTTTTCTTCAAACCAATTCCTTAGACATCACAATAGTGAGTACGAGGTTCACAAAAATTAAGCGAGAACTATGCTCATGAAATCCATACTTCTATTCCACATGAGTTCGCTGTCATGTAGGGCTAACATTTCCTATGCACCACTCGGCTGGGTATCAACCATTAAAGGTGTCAATTAGGGCCAACCCTGGCCCTTAACAGGTTGGCCTTATAAAGCCTAATTATATCTCAAGGCTTCATTTTGGCCAGTCGGTCCTGGCCCTCAGAGCCTCGGCCCTATATTTTTTTAATTTAAAAATTAAAAAAACATATTTAAAATCCCAAAGAAGTTATTACATGTAACATTAAGTCTATAAAAACAAAGCCAATACACACAATAACAAATTAAAGTTTAATAAAAAAATCACAAAATCAACACCAATAACAGCCAGACTTTGCTAGCATTATCAGCAAATTCTTAATGATTTTCATTTTTATCAATATCAATATAATTCAACCCTTCTCTTTGTGGAGCCTCAATAATAGCAAAGATATTAAAATTTTTATATATTCCTTCTTCATTCACGTGAAATGAAGTTAGGGTTTTAGAATTACTATAGTATTTAATTTTTTTCAATTTTTTAATATTAAAATTAAAAAAAATTAAAAGGGCTGGCCCTAGCCCTAAAGGACTAGCCTTTTTATTTTAGGGCTTAAAACCTTTTAAGTCCAAATTATCATTTTGCAATTTAAAGTAGTGGCCCGGCCATAGATTTTTTCGGGCTTAAAAGGGCCAGTCCGACAAGCTCAGCCCTAATTGATGGCTCTATGAACCATAGGCATTCCAAGGGCTACTGGAACAAGAATCAGCAACTAACATTTTGCATTCAATCCTTTGATAACACTTTTAAACATGCACGTTATTTGAACATCCTCAAAATATAGGACTTTCCCAATACTGAAACTCAAATAATGTTTGAAAAATATTCTCAATAATTCCACATATGTACATTACTCTGTAATTTAATCACGAATGGATGAATGAATAATGCATAAACAGACTGAATGCAATTTTTAGTTTGTTAAAGACAATTTTATGATATGTTATTCTAAAACACCAAATATTTTAAATATCAATGATAAGCTGAAATGATAACAAAATTTGACCAAAAAATCACATTATGAAGGAGATGGTTTAACTAAATTACAAGTCTATCAAAATACCACTTATAAAAATTACTATAAGGCATTATTTACTTACCAATGAATCAAGCTTTAATAATATTCACTACCATTTCCTGACCATATTTCAGATATAGATGTTGCCAAAGGTTCCTAAAATATTTAGGATGCCAATTATCATAACTTGACATTTAAATACACTTGAAACTAACCATACTCATTTAACTAAGACTTTAATTTGCCACAAAAGTTATTCCCCCCCCCTAATCAAGCTCAATACCTAATAAGTAATTAGAGAAATTAATTCCTTATGCTTTCCCCTTATTTTTATTCTTTTTGAACAGAAATAAAATCTTAGAATTCTATTAAAAATAAGAAAATACTGCTTTAATGATTGGAAATTAACAAAGGGATAAGTGTTATGTAAATTAAATGCAAGTAAAGACCATTTTCATGAATATCAACTTATCTTGCATAATTATAAATCATGTTCATTCATGCACTTTATATCTAATCATCCAACATTCTAATAATTATGCATTCAAACACGATCATTAATTGCATCCCAAAAATAGCACAATAGGATCACGCTACTATATATGTAGAATCTCAATTTGCCCCTAAGAAATACTTATTCTTGGTAATTATTTTAGCTTCCATTTCACCACTTGCCAACGATCATCTTGATAAGTTCTTAATCTCATTACTTTTTGACTGAATTACTCATTCCATAAGCCAACTCTTGATATTAATCTAGCAACCCTCATTGAAAACATCATTTTGGGGATCTTAATAAAGAGTGTACACTTATAAGTCATTCCACACCATATGTTTCATGCAAGTTAAGGCCAAGTAAGAATTGCATCCACCAATGATACCCATCATTCCTAACTACAAGTTAGTCTCTTTCGAACATTTTAACATACACTTGCCGTGCACTATTGATATGATGATTGAACAGACATTCAAACCCTTCTCCAAACATCAATCTTAATTGGAATCAGCACGCAAAAATTTAATCAGTTGCATAAAAAATATTAAATTTATATTCTCTCTCTTAACAATCAACTCTAAACTTTATCTTAAAGAGCTGATGGGACAAAGATTGAAGTGTGAATTTGAATCCTTGAAGCTTCAACAAGAAAACCCCAAATTTTGAACGAAGATGGTCGGGTTAATAGCAACAACGTTCAACATATATAGCGGAGTAGAGTCTCAACCACAATTATGCTTCAACAAGGAGTAAAAGAGAAGCGAAATAAAAGGAAGACGATGTTGGATATATGAGCAGAAAAGACCCGAAATACTTGAAGAAAATGAGAACAGAGACTTGAATAAAGAAAGGAAAATGACCCAAAATATTTTATTGCAAGTGGTGAGTAAGCAAAAGGAGAAAGAGGAAACCAGCTGTGATGCACAAAAACGGTGAAGGTTCGGGGAAACCACCAGCAGCTAGGCTCTGGGAATATTCCAAGTCTTGCTCTTGCTCCATCACACCACAAAGCCAACAACAACCAAACGCTGAAGGGAGAATTACGCGTAGGACCAAATTCACAGTTGTTTTTTGGGGGAAATATCCCTTGAAAATCACCAGAGGTATTTTATAGCAAAGAATGAGCATAAAATTCTAATTTTTTATTGCACCTTTTTTATTGTAGTTAAAAATAATTTTTTATAAAAATAATTAAATACAAATTGATTATTAATATTTAAAAGTATTGTTGTCAGTAACAAATTAATTGTTATTAAAACTTAAATAGCTTATTTTTTTATATAGAGTAAATATTTATTTCATTAAACTCATACAATTATTTGTTGACTCTTACTAAAGTTTGAATGTGTTGTTGCTAGTTATGAATTAGTTTTGTCAAAACTCGAATTGTTTGTTATTCATATAGAGTTAACACTTATCCATTTAACTTGTGCTGCTAGTTTTCAATCTTTTTAAATTATGATTGTATTGTTATTAATCATGAATTGATTGTTGTCAAAACTTAAATAAGCTTATTGTTTATACAGGGTGAATACTTGTTCCATTAAATAGGTGATATCAATTTTTCAACATTCTTAAATTTTGAATGTATTATTATCAATCATGAATTGGTTGTTGTGAGAACCTAAATGACTTCTTATTCATGTAAGGTGAAAACTTATTTCATTAAATATGTGCTGTCAATTTTTCAATCTTGTTTAATTCTAAATGTATTATTGTCAATTATAAATTGATTAATATCAAAATCTAAATGACTTGTTATTTATACAAGATGAATACTCAGTCCATTAAACATGTATTGTTAGTCTTGTTAAATTTTAAATGTGTTATTAATTATAAATTGATTGTTATCAAAACCTATATGACTTGTTGTTTATGTAGGATAAACATTTATTATTTTAAATGTTAAGAATAATTCAATCGTTTCTCATAAAATCTTATTTTCAACTAAGGACTAAAAGGGTGCAATAAAAAATCAAAATTTTAAGGCTCTTCTTTGATATAAAATACTTCCAATAGTCATTTGGTGATATTTTCCCTTGTTTTTTTTCCCCTTCCAAAAAGGCCTGAATATTAAGTTAAAATGTACTTTTACTCCATTAGTTTTATATAAGGTTTCATTTAAATATTTTAATTTTATAAAATAAATTTTTAATCCTCTAACTCTAACATAATTTATTTCAAATAATTATTTTTTATATTAATTATAATTATTATTTTAAAAAATTAAAATTAGTATGCCAACATTAAATAATTTTTTTTAATGTTTAAAAGTTTAATGTAAAATTTTTTTTATAAAACTAACATTATTAGTGTTAAATTTTTTAAAAATATGTTTTTTAAAATTAAAATGAAATCTTGTATAAAATTTAAAAAATCAAAAGTATATTTTAACCATGAAATTATTACAAAATATCATGGTCCTTTTTGTAAAAATAATAATTTTGTATTGATGAAATTGCCATTCAACTCTTGCATTTAAAAAGAGATTCCGTGACCTAAGAAAGTGATTGGAGGTTTAATCTCAACCATTGTGTATGTAATAATGTAGTTGGTGGAGTTTATCCATTACTTTCAATATATCAAGAGAGATAATAATATTTGCTATAGGCGGAGTATATTTCTTTTGTTATAAAATACATGCTTGATTCATTGACTACAACATGTTACTTGTGAGATAGGAAAGGACAAAGGAAAAGGAAAAAAATGATACTTCGGTCCTAAAAGATTGAATTAATGACAGTTAAATACCTGATAAATTTTTTTTTAAAAAAATGAGTTATAAATATTGATTTGAATAATTACAAATAGAATTTTTTGTTACAATCTAAGAGTTACATTTGATACTTAAATATTTTTTTACAATTAACATTCTTTAATTTGTAATTATTTGAGTCGATATTTTCAACTAATTTTTCAAAAAATACAGTCAGAGACTTCACTATTATTAATTGAAGGTTATAGGACTTAACTATTGTTCTGTCAAGGAATTTTTCCATTAATTAGAGGTAAAAAATAAATAGATTTCTCTTTTTATTAAAAAAAAAAGTGCAAGTCTTAGATAGTTAGCTTTATATACTTAATATATTTTTATCCAATTAAATTAGAACAAGTAGAATTCAATGTGTTAGTAATATTAATTAAAAGAATTTATTATAAAATAAATAATCTATAAATGATACACATATTTTGATTTAATAGGAAACTAGCACTTTAAATATATAAAGCTAAGTATATAAATTTTTTCAAAAACAAAAATGCAATATTTAAAGCAATTGCTTTTTCTTTTTTGACTAGCTAAAGCAATTGCTTTTTCACTATCATATATATTGCCAATTGCTATTTGCAATGCACAACTCCAAATAATGCACAAAATCTAAGCAATAAACTTAAGTTGGTATCACAACATAGAGCCTTAAAACACGAGACTCTAATACTAAAATATAACACTCTAAAATTTACACTAATTTTTAGTAAATTATATATATATATATATATATATTCACAACAAAACTATATACATTAAACACATACTATGGTAGAAAAATATCTATCATAGTAATAAAGAGTAAAATTAAATTTTTTAAAATACTACCTTGGTAAATAAAGGTTTTATTTACCATTAGTAAAAAGAGTTGTAGATATTATTTTCAAACCCTATCAAAAAAAAAAAAAAGAGGGGGGCTACCATGGTATTTAAGAATAAAAATCATTTATATCAAATTTACTATAGTGAAAAGAGCTTATTTTATAATAAAACATTTTTCAAAATAAACTACCATAGTATAAAAATTAAACATAACAAAATAGGCATATCATGATAAATTATGAACTAAATAAGTTAAATAAATAAATACTAATGGAAAATAATATTAAACAAAGTGTACCTAATGGGATCCCACTGCTGTTTAGTTAAAAATCATAAACACAAGTAAAGTAGGGTTCCCAGGGGTAGTTTGAATCTAAAATATCATATTAGTCACACACAAAAATACAAGATAATTTAAGTATCCACCCAAAATAATTATATTGGACTATGGTAGGATAAACAATACTTTCAAACATCAACTTAATAATCAATATCCAATATGGGCCCAAACATCACTTTTAATAAATTGTTAACATGACCTAACTAGAGTCCACACAAGGGTAAATAACTTGACCACAATACTTCCACTTCTAACATCATATAGCAGCACACATTCTAGATATGAACGAAGTAAAGCCATGGTTGGATTACATAATGACTAGACCACAATTTGAGAGTTAGTTTTGGCTTTTATGTAAATAGTTCCCACATTATGTAATATTCTTTGTATATTAATTTTTATAGGGCATAAAGTCCAAGAAAAGAATTTAGGTGACATTTAATTACTAGCAAGAAATGAAATAGAATGAATTAAAAAAATAAAGGTAAAAATGAGAAGATCAAAAGAGATAGTAAACCATATTCGTAAAAGAAAGGGGTAGTTTAGTTCATGGGGTTAGAAATCATACTTTATGAAATTTTTAGAGGGTGTGATAATTTTCACATTTATAGTATATATTAATAAGTTTTATCATGCTTATCATGAGAAAAAAAGATGATTTAGTTTATTTTTGTATTGATTTTTTAACCCATTCCATTTCATTCATTTCTAGTAACCAAACATAACCTAAATGTTTCAAAAATACCTCATGCAGCACCATTAATGAACCACAACACTAAGAAGAAGATGATAAAAGGTACCAAACATTGATCAAGGTTGAGGAAAAATGAAGGACTATCATGGGAAGACCAATTACATGGGATTATTATTTCAAATACCTTTTTGACGTAGTAGGGTTGAAGAAGTTGAAAAGTTGTATTTTTATATATTTGTTTTAAAACTAAGTACTATATTTGGTGGAATTAGAGAGTAAATACAAATTATATATTAGTGATTGTAAGTATTTATGCTTAGTAATAGTTTATTTCTATATTATGATGAAACAATTTTAAATTTTATTTTTACATTTTTAATATTAAAAATAAAAAATTAATAAAAATAACAATAATAAAAGAAAACAAGACTACTTTATTTGACCTATATTTCAAAGAAGCATAAAATAAGGTTACTTTATTTGATTCTTGTTTGAAATAGGGGTCAAATAAAGGTTACTTGATTCAACAATTTTTTAAAACAACAATCAAATAAAGCTACTTGACAATTTTTCATAGATAAAAAAATGTTAAATAACTTTAAATGGTACTTGTTTATTTGACCTTTATTAACTGTCAAATAAGATCCAAAATAAGGGTCAAATAAGGTCATTTTTGTAGTAGTGAAAATTTCCCTCCTCATCTATCTTTGCTTGCTTGGCTCCTTAAATAGATGTACTTGGGTCTTCTCTTTTTCTCTTAGACCCAAATGTGGTTGTTGTAATGGAGGCTTCAACTTGATCTTTAATGAGCATAAGCAATTGCATCTTCTTTAGGGCCTTAGAACTCATCTTGTCATACACAATATCAGCTTTTCCTTCCAAGTACGTGATCTTTGCATTACTAAGGATTTTAGAAATAAGGGAACCATACAATAGGAATTGAGGAGCCCTTTGATGTTTTAACTTTACAATGACAGAGGGAACATTGATCTTGTAGCCTTTAAGAATTGTATTCATATGGATAATCTCCTCCTGAGTGAGTTGGTTTAGTCCTTGCTACTTACACATGATTGTCCTAGTAAGTATATGCTGGATGACCTGGTGTTGTAGAGGCATAGAGATAGGCTTGATAAGAGTTCCATCCTTCAGGTCCCAATCATGAGTCAAAACTTGGTACATATGAGGCTTATCAAAATTAAAGTTTGAATCCTTCTTCATAGATCCATCTATAGGGAGAGCATGTTGGATATGTTGGCACCTAAGAAAGGGGTGAATTAGGTGACATTAAATTTTTCTAGTAAACTTAGAAGAGAGGAAGATGAATGCAAGGATTTAAGAGATCTAACACAAGTGATTTATCCACTAAATCTTGACCTACATCTAGTCCTCAAGATCACTCTTGAGATTTTCAACTAAACTCATGAGCTCTA